AGCCCCCCATCTCCGCAGGACAGCCCCGTTACTGACCTGCCTGGTCAGGGACTGACTCTCTCTTCCCCCTTTTGTATATTGGATTTAAGAGCTCTTTGGGGCAGGGCAGCTCTCTATGCTATCTACATTGTTTAGTGTAATCAGCATCTTATCTCAGTTGATGTCTCTACTTCTGCCGCCCGCCGCCCGCCCACCTGGATCTCCACGCGACAGCCCTGCTACCCCTAACCCTGCTTCCACCAGCTGCCCACCCACCTGCCCTGATCTTCGCGTGACAGCCCCGCTACCCCCAACTCTTCTTCCCGGCAGCCGGTTCTCCCTTCCCACCACTGCCACCTCCTCCTCCCAGCCCACCCTGCTCTGCTCCCCTACCGGCAGCCACGCTGAGGCCGGTATTTTTTTTCCCATGGCCCAGTACCGGGCTGAGGTCCATAGTTTGGGAAATGCTGCTCTACTCTGTTGGACCCTCTTCTCTACTGGACCTCTTAGTGTTGATTCTAGTCTCGCTTCCATTGCACCCCAGTTTGACCACTCAAGACCAGTCAGTTTTTCCACCAAAACCTGTGTTCCCTTCATTTAACAGCCTGGAAATGCAATGGCTAAATGCCAGAAAAGAGGCTTGTTTTAAGTGAATTTGCCAAGTCTTACTAAACAGTAGAAATTCCTCCAACAGGGCTGCCTACCTGTGACAATGGAAGTGTTTTTGGTCTGGGCTTGACAAACTGGAGTTTCTCTGATGCATTCATCCATCTGACATATACTATTTGTTGCACCTGAAACAGCAAGGCTTAGCAATTTCCTCTATCGAGAGTTCACCTGGCAGCAATATCAGCTTGCCACCTTCATGTGGATAACAGTCTGTTTCTTCAAGTGATATGACAATCGGATTCCTTAAAAGTCTGGAAATGTACTCTGTCAGGTGAACCTGTCCCCACTTGGGGGTTTATCCTGGTCTTGTCTAAACTTATGACACCACCATTTGAGCCTTTAGTAACCTTGTGACGAGGCAGCTAAGGTTAAATGAACTTGCGGGCAGGGCCCAGCTGGCTGAGAGGGTCCAGCTGGCTGAGAGTGTCCCTCCCCCGTGGCCTTGTCGGGCATGCTCACTGGTGAGCCGTACTATAAAAGGCTCTGATCCAGTTCACTTGGGGCTGATAGCTGAAGGGCAAGGCCTGAAAAGGCCAGCTCCTGACCCAGAGGAGTCCATGCAGCTAGAACCAACTCCGGTTGGGAGGGAGGTCCCGAGCGAGGGGAAGCACCTCTTGACAAACCTGCTTTTCTAATAGCCATCACTTCTGCCAGAAGTCTCTGGTACTTAATATTGCAGTAAAATATGTTGCACAAGAGACTCAATATATCTAATATATCATCAGAGTGGCACAAAGAACAAATAAGCACTACCCTAGTTATTTGCTGGTCAATGATTCAACTATGATCTAAATTTTCAGAGTTAAACATTTTGTCCTTTCGGATCTTATGAGGTTACAACATATAGTACAAAATATAGGTTTGCCCTAAATATAAAAATAAATATTTATATTTTGATGCAAGAATTACATGAATACTTAAATAATTGTATCTGCACAAATTCTCTTTCCTTTTTTGTAGACCCATTTTATTTACTTCTAGGTTAAACTGTTATGTGGGATGTGGTTTCTTTGTAAACCTTTCAGTATTTGATAAGAAAGGATAATACAAAAATATAATTTTGAGGCTTGAAAAATAGCTGCTCAGCAGGTGCAAACATTAGTTTCATTAACTCTTTTATATGGTTCAGTAGCAGCTTATAAAATCTTGTATTGAAGGGATGAACCGTTTTACTGCATAAATAAACTTTTGTTATCTGGGCTGCCATTAAAATGAAAGAAGGAATACCACCATTCACTGAAAGAGTAATTTAATTAAAAACCAAATTTAAATATAAAGCTGGCATTAAAGTAATGTTATTTGTGATGGTATAGATGTATATTCAATACTGGTGTGCAAACAACTAGTGTCCCAGAGCTGGAGAAATTTGCTTAGCAGTACTTGTAGAGCTGTGGCGCACACACCTCCTGGCAATAACTCCTCTCCTAGCTGATAGTGGAAGGGCAACCCTGACCCTCCTTTACTTCCTTCTTCTTGCCTATAGCTGAGTCGGAGCAATGTGTGGACTTCACCTCGTAATTGCTCAATGAATTTAGTTTTTTCTCGATGTATATATTTAGTAGTACTATTAGTATTAGTTGTAGTAGTTTGTTTTCTCAGTGATGCCCTCAATGGGGTTTAAATGTCCTTTGTGTAGGGGAGCAGTCTCCTACAATGATCTCCACACATGATGGTTTGGGTTCCAGAAGTGCTATCGCTGCACATACCAGACCAAGTTCCTCTCCAACTACAAGTAGGAGCATTTCCTTGTCAACTGTGCATATGTCTTGGTTTTGAGCAGACTCTTTTGCTTCTCTCTGGACTGACATGGAGTTGGTAGTGAGAATGTTAAAGACTAGTCTACTATCCGATAAGCAAATGCTTATTGGGTATTTGAGTTGACTAGTCGATTTCGTCCTCCTTTC